GCCCTTTCGGCTTCCTGCCCCGCCCACTGCTGCTAACCACTAGCCCCCAGTGGTAACTCCTGGCTCCCGGCGCCTCTTGCTCTAACCACTAGACCTTGCTGCTTCCCAGACCATGCTGTTCTAACCACTAGACCCCACTGCCCCTGCACAGCTGGGCCCAGGCCCCAGACCTGTCTCACATCCCTTGCTGTCACCACTAGCTCCCAGCCCCTAGGAGCTGCGGGGGTGCACCCCGCCCTGGGGGCCATGTCCCCCCGGCTCACGTTCCTGTGTCTTTAAATCACCCTGCGGATGCTGTAAGGAGGCTCCCTCCGGCCCAGGCCCTCGCTCAGTGCTTGCCTTATAAGTCCCGCGGCCCTCCTGGCTGCTTTTCCCCTGCGCCCCTCTCGCTCGCTCCCCATAAATCTGGGAAGAGTCCAAGGCGCCCGGCAGCGTGCGGCAGGCAGCGCGGGCCGGGGGGGCGGGCATAGCCCCTGCCAAATCCATGTGCTCTTCTATAAACACCACTGGCTGCAGCCAACTCGGCTGGCTGGGCCCCGGGGAGGTGGCAGGGATGCAGGGCGGGGTGGGGGCTCCCCAGCCAGGGCACAGGGAGTCGGGGGGCGGGAGGAAGCCCCAGTGCGTACAGACCGTGTCCCCCCCAGTACAAAGAGACTGTGTCTCCCAGTGCGTACAGACCGTGTCCCCCCCAGTACAAAGAGACTGTGTCTCCCAGTGCGTACAGACCGTGTCCCCCCCAGTACAAAGAGACTGTGTCTCCCAGTGCGTACAGACCGTGTCCCCCCCAGTACAAAGAGACTGTGTCTCCCAGTGCGTACAGACCGTGTCCCCCCCAGTACAAAGAGACTGTGTCTCCCAGTGCGTACAGACCGTGTCCCCCCCAGTACAAAGAGACTGTGTCTCCCAGTGCGTACAGACCGTGTCCCCCCCAGTACAAAGAGACTGTGTCTCCCAGTGCGTACAGACCGTGTCCCCCCCAGTACAAAGAGACTGTGTCTCCCAGTGCGTACAGACCGTGTCCCCCCCAGTACAAAGAGACTGTGTCTCCCAGTGCGTACAGACCGTGTCCCCCCCAGTACAAAGAGACTGTGTCTCCCAGTGCGTACAGACCGTGTCCCCCCCAGTACAAAGAGACTGTGTCTCCCAGTGCGTACAGACCGTGTCCCCCCCAGTACAAAGAGACTGTGTCTCCCAGTGCGTACAGACCGTGTCCCCCCCAGTACAAAGAGACTGTGTCTCCCAGTGCGTACAGACCGTGTCCCCCCCAGTACAAAGAGACTGTGTCTCCCAGTGCGTACAGACCGTGTCCCCCCCAGTACAAAGAG